GGAATAGATAGACTTTTGTTCATTTAAGAACAGAGCAAATAGTTTTTTTAGTCATAAGTAGAAAATAGATTAGAAAGTAAGGAGTGCTTTGAGATTATTTTCTTTCAGAAATACAATGACTCCAAATGTACTTCACAGCCTCCAAAAATCTGTTAAATTTGATGTTAGGTCATTTAGAAAATTCCAGTCAAAAAGTGATAAATTTGCTTTACTTTCTTAGAAACAGGAACATTTATTTATGATTGTAAAATGTATGTACTGGAATAGTTTATTGATGAGAAACTAAAGCAAAAATGCAAATCTATTTTGTACTTCACTAATAAATCTTACAATGCCAAACTCATAATAAGATTCTCTAATGATAGAAATTGGATAACCTCAACCTTGTTTCCTGACAATTCCAAAGTTTAGAATAGCCAGTGCCATTCCTCAGAAAAGACATACAAGCATAAGAAACAATACTGATTTTCATAAAATACATGTGTGGAAAGCAACACAAAAAATCTGCACACTTAATTTTAATTTGAATATTGTAACTATAATAATAAATTTAACATTTATAAAGTTAATATAAATGATATGAAATTTTACAAAAATAATGATATTTATTGTGACATTGTCACAGTGCCAGGCTGAAATTTTTTATCATATTTTTAATTAATTTAATTTAAAATATTTGCTCGCCACCTCAAATAGTGGCTTGTCCCTGTACATCATACTTTTCCTTTTCCTTTCCATAGAGTTGTGCCAGTCATTTAACACCTTTCAAGGGAATTTTTGAATTGAAATAATGACTTCTGGTTTGTCTCAGATACTTGCATATAATTAATCAGGACCTCTTGCCCCTAAGGTTTCCATATCTGGTCTCATCTTTCATCTACAGTAGCTAATTCCATTTTCGAGATTAAGGAAAGACAGACAGTGATGACAGTGGGAATATATATAGGTCTATCAATTTTTCAAATTGCAGCCAAATTAGTTTTACAGAACTAGTTCTAGTGTTGATTATTGTATATTGTATATTTTGAATATTCTGAATAAACAATGGATAGTGCCACTTACTGATTTACATGGTCTGTTTAAGGTAGAAGCATAAATAGTGCAATTGCCTATCAAATGAGTTCACAATATATTCCATTTTTAATGCAGACAATGGAATATATTAAATGGATTAAATGCATTTAATGGCATTAAATGGAATGTATTGTGAACTGTACTGCATATTAATACAAAATTTCTCAGTAATTTGCAATTCTGATTAAATTGAAGCCTCTTCTGGAAGCAAAAATTGGTACAAATGTACCAGGAACCTGTTGCCGATGTGCTTCTTGGAAAAAAACAGTTACGAACGTTTTCAAACTTGAAAGTTCTTCTTCAGGTAACTGACGACTGTTAAGCTAATGCAATTCAAATTCAAGTCAAATTGGAATACCATTCAGAATTATATCGCGTGGATCGATGACATCATTCACGCATGCACCCCTCTGCCGGTTGTAAATTATCGTAAGTTTTTGTCTATGAGCGCCTGCCATGCAGTTGACAGGGTGATTTTGTCTTTGTGGTTAATGCAATTATCATCTTTTAATGTTCAATTGTGCCGTTGAGAACATCACACAGGAACACTTTCAGAGGAAAAAGGTTGTTTTATTGGTGTGAACAGATATGCTCTTCAGTCCTGAGATAGTGACAGTTAAACCAACATGACTCATAAGAAGATATACACGTAGTTGAAAAAGGAAAAAGGAACTAAAAGTTCTTTTGGCTCAACACACACACATATTAGGATAGTATGACATGTGCTCTAGGGTGTGAAATAATTCTGATGAGATGTACAGAGAACATAGACAAGATATGAGAGGTTAAAAAGAAGTGAGTCTACTTTTCACTTTTTTTTTTTTTACTCTTTCCGCACTGTGGGCACTAAGAGGGCCTCTTATAGCAGGCCCACAACGGGACAGCCGGGTGGTGAGGGACAGGGCCCGACATATCTGAACGGACCACCCCCTGAAAAATTCCAGGAGTTTCCTCGACCCGTCTGGATTCAATCCTGGCCCCCAGAGTGGTAAGCTGTCACCTTGACTGCTCGGCCATCCAGCCATCACTATCTCAGGACTGAAGAGGGGCATTAAGCCCAAAATGCATATCTTTTCACACCAATAAAACAACCTTTTTCCTCTGAAAGTGTTCCTGTGTGATATGTTCTCAACAGCAACAGTGTGCTAAGAAAATACATAATTTTTAAGAATTTAAGATGGCAAAAAAGATTCAAAACATTTCCAAAAAATGTTTGAGAAGTAGGTTGTATTATTTGGACAAGGAGCTGTTTGTGGTTAGGGCTACATGCTCACCAAGTTTCATTTGAATCAGAGACTAACATCTGACCCTCTCCTTGTTAGTAACATACTATCATGATCTGAAAAAATATTGCAAATGACTTACAATTTCTGTACTGCTTCACAAAAATATTATTTGAGGATATCTCAATGTAAGGCTTCACCATCTGGCTGCAATCACTGGGAGTACCAATCTAGTCTGTCGGTTGGCGTGTATCCATCATCTAGTTCAGTGTTTCTCAACCTCTAACGAATTGTCGACCCCCTTCAATAAAACCGTTATGTAGTATCACCCCCCTTTCACTTCAAAATTCCGATGCCGAGGGCCAAGGCTAACGCCAAATTCATACTGCATTGAATAGACTATTGACTAGTGTAATGTTATTTGTTTAATTATTGCACAATATAATGAATAAAATATCTAATTATTCTTAATATAATGTTTTACTATATCGCCCAGAATTGTTTTTCGCCCCCCCAAAATATAAATTGTTACAAATCGCCCCCTCAACATGGGAAAAATGCCCACATGGGGGCGATATCGCCCCCATTGAGAAACACTGATGTAGTTGAACACGTACATAGGTGAAAGAACACAGTCATCACATGCAGCCACTAATTGTCTATGACTATTCATGAAAGGAGTGCAATCCTTTCATAAGAACCATGCAGTTTGCTCTCCATAGTTTGTCAGAATGAACTGTACAACTAAATGACAGTCCAAAGCCCTGATCACTAACAAATGGTTACACGACTTTCAAAGTTAACACTACGATTACATGAAATGACAGTCTGATTCTACCTACTGGGTCAAAATTGTAACCAGTCTAAATCATTTGTTTATGACCCTTACATGATATCTTTTCATCTTTTTTCAAGACAACCTAAAATTTTTATCTTTTGATTGTAGAGCAATAAATGTAAAACACCATGCAGAAAGGAAACTTTATTAGATATAATTTAGAACTGGAATTTAATTCATAAAAAAATTAATAACTAGTTAGATAAAAATCAAAATGACTTTTCAGATATTATTAAAAAGTTATAAAAATTAATGTCAAACAAGCACAAATTCAGACAAAAGCTAAGATTTTCTGCTATTCTTTATTTCTTAACATGTTAAAAGGTGTTAGAACTTCAATAACAAGGTTTACTCTGTTGTATTGTCCATGCGTGTTAAACATTTTAAATTCAAAACTTAGCATTGTTAAAATGCAAGTTGAATATTTTTTTTATAAACCTAACTCTTCTGCAAGCAAACAGCAATAACTTACAAATGTGTTTACATTTTTCTGAACTTGCAGCAATAAAGTACACTTGTAGTCATTTGCAATTATTATTGATTTTTTTCCCCTCTAAAAACAGTAAAACTGATTGTGAGGGTGTGATTTAAATGCAATCCAGTAATAATCAGATTTTAAGAATTTGATTTATAATTTTGACAGCTGAACAAATAAACAATTTGTGTGGACCTGAATCCGCCCGCATTTAACATGTACTACTGTTTGCATCAAATCTGCCATTTTAAATTGGCCAATGATTTGCAAAAATGCCAGGTTTTTATATAAATTCTCTTTGACTGCAAAAAGTAAGGATACTGTTCAGCTGTAAGAAAATTTACAAGTTAAATCAAGTATGATTTTAGAAATTTTTTCATTTTACTTTTCATTATTATTGTTTAATTGTTAAAATGTATTTATAACACAAAATGGGAAGGAAATGGATGTGTTAAGATGAACTTGACACATCTAGGTCAAACCTAGGTCTCCAGAATGATTTTAAAAATTCAGAATACAAACAATTGATAAATTTGATCCAGTGACTACCATAACTGATCCTTGCAACAGTTATTAGTCTTTAAAGAATCAAGCTACAAACTAGAAAATACTAAATCCTAAATCTTTACCTTTTAAATATAATGCCAGATGATGCACACTTGCTCTTACAAAACACAGGGAACTTAGAGAATTATAAATGTTCGTGTCCAGTTTGTCATATTTTTTTAAAACTTAAAAGTCCAGTGGAAATCTGATGTTTTCCTGATTGTCTTTTTAGTGGGGTATGAAGTTTGCAAGTCTCTTAAGGACAAATTCTTCTTTTAGTTTGTGTTACGTTAGTCAATGTAGGTTTCCAGAAATTTTTTTTTACTCTTTTGCTTTCTGCAAAAGCTTCATTTGATAAGAATTTACAATATATCACACTTAATTTTATTGTCCCAAGTTTCACAATTTCAATGAAAGTAATTGGTTGCTTTGATGATTAGCCTTATAATAAAATAGAAAACAAATGCATGAGTATTTACATGCAATTGCTGCAATAGCATATTTTATTTTTGATTATTTATTTAACTTATTCCAGGATAGAAGAGTTATGATCTGGACAAATAATGGAACGAACATGCTTTCTCCAGCATATCTGTCATCACTTCTCCCACAATATCCACAATTTTACAGATCCTGCAGATCTCATGTGGCATAATGATGATTGATTCCAACTCTGCAAACTACAGAACACCTATCTGTATTGAAGTCACAATTTTCATTTATGGTGCTTCCTATAAATAGTAGATGAGATGGTGATTGAATGCAGATTGGAGATGAAGCTCAGATGGTTACTCTATTGATNTGCAATTGCTGCAATAGCATATTTTATTTTTGATTATTTCAGGATAGAAGAGTTATGATCTGGACAAATAATGGAACGAACAATAACTGGACGAATATTACACTTCATACGTTTGATGACGTAGTCTGGCAGGTCAGCTGGTCCATAACGGGAAACATTTTGGCTGTCTCGGCAGGAGATAATAAGGTGAGAAAAATGTAACTAGTAATTTTCTGTTATACTGATGTTTTGGCATTCAGTGATTAGATAATTGAGATAGCTAAACATCCTCAAAAAACTGTCGTCACAGCTACATTAAAACGACCAAGGAGTAATTGTGTAAAACACTTTTTTTTTATATTTCCCTTATGTTTATTCTTGCAGATAAGTCTCTGGAAAGAATCACTGGACGGGCAGTGGGTATGTATCAGCGATATTAACAAAGGCCAAGGAGAAATGATCACCAGTGCAACAGAAAGAACTCTATGAACAAATTCCTATTGTAATTTTATTTTTAAGAAGCTTTAATTAAATAAAGTTCATCTTACAATCTAAATTCTTGCAAAGGAATGTTTAATGAAAACAATGATACATGAGACCGGAGGCTCTTTTGACAAGAAAAATACGTGGCGGTTTTCGTCGTTAAAAAAATTATCTACACGCACAATGATGATCGTCACGGACACTGTACAGGATTCTCTTGTAACATGTTACTAAGAGATTTCGTTGTATCTTGCCTGCATGGCCTTTTTGACGGCGTCTTTATAAGTGTCACCAGCACTTGCTCCATAAGTGGCTCCTTTCATGCCCAAACCAGCAGCTTGAACTCTTCTTTGTACCTGAAACAATTCAAAAAAAGTTATATAAAAAAATGTTCTATGTCTTTCCATAACACTTATAAATAATTGCAACTTTCCATCTTAGAGTGTTCCTTTAAGTGCAAATGAAATTGCTGTTTTCAATAATTTCAAAAACTTTAATGGAGAAATTATTAAGATTAGATTAAAATATTAAATAAGTAATTACTGAAAAATAACTGAATGCAGTCGGAACATCTAATCCTAATTTTGTTATAATGCCATTTGCCATCATTTAAATTGTAGTAAAATTAAAATGCTAATTTTTTGGTTTCAGCCTTGCTATGATTTTGTTATATGACAATTCTGGTCTTAAAAATTTTGTCCATATTTTGACAGGTCTTGTTACATATTTTACATCTTAGTTGAAATGATGGGAAACTGGGCTACTTTCACTTGCTTCTGGTCTCATCAAGTCCTTTGTGCAAAAATAGCACTAGCCAACAAATTTAAATGAAATTTTTTCCTTAAATTGAAAATACCCAATACTTATGGAATTTGAGCTGCTGAACATGAAAATTTGCATATATCTTAAACCATAGCCAATTTTAATAGTTGTTGAAATAATACAGTAGAATCTTGTTTTAATGGATCATGGAACAATTGATTTGGCAGGATCTGGCAAGAAATCTATATCATTTTACCTTTCAGCAGATCTATAACTCGGGACTAGAAACAATTGCACCTAATTAGCCCCTAAAGCGCACAGGTCAGATTTTTAATACGTATCAGTCTACTGCTTACTCTATATGCATGTGTAGATGTGCGCCTCAGTGCTTGCTATCACTCACACCCCCTAAAACTATATAACATCAAGTACTCCATAAATAATCAAGTGGGCTACTCAAAGCCAGCATAGTCATATGGGCTAGATAATTAAATACCATAATCTTGGAAGTACCACCATTGGGGCTGAAGACCTTAAGGGCATACCTAAAGACCTTCCTGACAAGTTTAAACAGAGAGGTCATACATGACATTACTAATAGTTATGTGCTGGATCGTTAAAAATGTATATCTATGGATATGGATACAGATACGGATCATTAGTGTCTAGATCTGCGGATACGGATACGGATCTCAACTTTCGTACTCAGTGCTAGTGCTTGTGACCTTGGACCGATAGTTGACTCTTTGCGTTAGTAATGCAACGTGTTTTGACTTGCACTGTGTGTATTTTTGTTTATAGTTTAGTGTGACATGGGATAGCATAGATTACATTTGTATCTTTGGAGAGTGTTGAGTTAAATTAAAAAAAAACATTGACAAAAAAGTTTAGTAGTGTAATATGGAAATTTTTACGATAGTAAATGATTTTTGCATGATAAAATTTTTGCAATATGAATGAGCCAAATATGTGATTTTAAGAAATAAAAAGTGATTTGAATTGAAGTTATTAGTATTTTATTGCTACCTATCTTTAAAATTTCCTATAAGTAATGAAATTCATTAAGATAAAAGATCTGCTAAAAAGTAACAGATACGGATATTTTTTTTCCCTCGGATATCCTGCACATCACTAATTGCTAATATCAAGCAACATTAAAACAAACAAGGAAGTCAATTGAATAGCTGTACTTTGTATATACTGTAAACATAAAAAAGACAGTTTGTCAGCTTTATCATATACATATACAGCATAACATATGATCTTGTAACATGTCTCTATAGAATAAAGGTTTTATAGTAATTAAAAATTGAAAGTTAAAAAATGGAAACTTTTCTGGGTATGCAGGAAAACCACTGTTTGTGAAGTAGTGAATCATTGGAACAGATGATTTTCAGTGGCCTAAGTGATCTGTTAAAACACGATTATACTGTATACGTATTGGTTAATGCCCACTTCTACTCCTAAGCATTGCTTTTCCTATCACTTTTGAACCTGATCAGAATTATCCCTAGTGATTTTCCAACAATAGTCTTCCAAATATAGCCACATTTAGGCTAAATGTACAGTGAATCATTTTATTGTTTTAACAGTGTCTTTTATTACGTATAACAACTGACCAGTTTGTAACATTGTGTACTGTTTGTTTTAATTATACTGCTCTAAATATCTTATCAGCATGTTTCATCAAACAACTAATACTTGGATCTGTAATCAATGATTTATCAATTGTGGAGATTTCATTGTGCATTTTAAAGAAGTATCTGATTGTATGACTCTAAACAACATAACAAATCCAATCATTATGCATATAATTAAATGTTTTGATATCAGTATTTTACCAAATGTTGAGATCTTATTGTGCATTTTGTAGATGTAGATGTGTCAATTTCATAAATATTTGTAAAAAAAGCTGATGAAGGACTTATGCCTTTTGGACCTTATTTTTCTGGAAAAATAAACTGATTTTCTAAGGCCAATCTTGTGTCCAGACATTTCAAGGGATAAAATTAAAATTGTTGATGACTATATCCACAAAACAAGTAAAATGGCAAAACTGTATTTGGGACAAGACTATGTCTCAAAGACTCATTACTAAGCAGAATCACTTTGATGCTCAAGGCGGGTCTCATTCTCATTCTCCAATCTTTTTTTGGTATCACTGCTTTTGGGCGCAATTGTTCAAACTTAGCTGGCTACGACCACGACACATTTTCGATGAAATTAACCTATCCAATTTCAAAATTTCTCTCAGTTGCATGTCACCCCTGGGTTGAATTTTTGTTGATGCGTAATGAAAATTTCCCATTTTTGAAAAAATAATCATGGCTATTGTATTGTCCGAAATACAGGTAGGCCTCCTACAACGCAGTACCTTTACAACGCATTTTCGCTCCAACGCGGTTGGAAAAATGCAGACATTTTCTTACAACACGGTACTTTTACAACGCGGTTTACTGTATTTAGAAACGAATTATCTTCACATAACAGAAAAATTGCAACGGATCACGTGATACGAGCCGCAGTTCGGCATACTGAGCTAAAAGTCTTTGAAAACAGCTGTATGTGGACGTTGGCATGTTATTCCCTTGAAAGTTTCAGGGGAAGACCGGTTTCTAGACAGATGTGCATCAGTTACCGTAAACACTCAAATATATCACTAAATTTTCGATCATTTATACTCTTTCAATAAGTTGGGACCGCAAAAATGGTCCAAAATACAGTATACACTTCTATTGGGTGTATATTTTTAACAACATAATGAAAGGAAGTTATTTTTTGCGATTTTTACTGTCCACAAAACTGATTGAAAAAATTTTAGCCATAACAATGCTGAATGAAAAGAAAAAACCGTCGTTAAAAAGGAAATTTATAACTCTTCAAACAAAGATAGAAATTTTGGATCGAATTAAATATCAAGAGCGGATAGCTGATATCGGTAGGCATTTTAATTTAAATGAGTCGACGATTCGGTCAAGAGAAAAGATCAGAAATTTGGTCACATCCAGATCATCTATTCTTGCGAAAAATGTTGCTCGTCCAAGAGCACCTGTAATGGAGAAAATGGAACAAGCGCTAATATTATGGGTAGAAGATATGAAGAAGAAACGGTTGTCTTTAAATAAAACTGCACTTAAACACTTAAAGCCTTAAAAATATTTGATTATTTAAAACAAATGGGACAGTCGTCAGCTGATGAAACCAGTGTTAAATTCATGGCTAGCAATGGCTAGTTTGAAAAATTTAAAAAACACCATTCAAACGCCAAGTTTTTCTCTTTTTAGAACCGAATCCCAGTTTTTGTATTAAGTTGGTCTCTCCTATAACGCAATTTCCCACAACGCAGTATTTTCAAGGAACGTATCTACCGCGTTGTAGGAGGCCTACCTGTAATTTTTTTATTTTGCACAAACAATATACAGTTTAACCTGATTATAATGTCATCGGATGTAATGACAACCCTAATATAACGTCATATTTTTATCGGTTCCACGATTTTACTATACCAGATAATGTTAAAAAACCTACTTGTAATGACACCCTGTTTTAATGTTATATTTGAAGCACTCCTAAATTTACAAAATTAGATTACAAATTTTATTTAACATAGAAGAAACTATATGTTCAGTCCTAAGGTCAGAGTTTACTTCTTAGAATGACCGTGGGTGGTACTCTCCCCCACCTGACTTCGGTGGGATGAGGTGCCTGTTTTGCCTGTTTGTAAAAGAGGGTCACCATTTTGTATTTTATTTTGACTTGGTTCTCAGTCCCCTGACTACCAACAAGTCTGGATTTTTTTATGCACAAATTATTTGGGCACCTAATACTCTGTGCCAAATATCAACTCTCGACATGTACTCCTTCATACCTCTAAGCTGGTAATATAAACCGGCAGTATGATTTTATAAATAAGACATAGTCTTGTCAACAATAAATTGCTCATTCTAAACAAAAATAATGTCACAAAAATGGCAAAAAATTATGTAAAATAACTTCTTGACAGCAATCAACAGTATTCACACTGATGAGAGAATGTATCAGGAAGATATAATTTAATCATTCTTTTATGGAAATTTATTCTCAGTAACAACAAATTTCATGCATTAAATTAGTGATTGTATAGCCTTCCTTCAGTCTCACAATTTCCCGAAGATGCTGATAGCTACTGTGTTATCATTATCATCTTGCAGCAGAGTATGTGGCTGGTGAATGGGGCCAATCGTTTTACAAAACTCGCATTAATGAGCTTACCATATATTATGAAAAGTGCCTTAATCATCAAAGGAACTGTGTAGAAAAATAACTTAAATTTAATTCTCAAAATGGATAGATAGTATGCATGAAGAATGTTTTTCCTTTCCCTAAGGATATTATAAGGATTCAGATCAGAAAAAATATTGTGAATTATCTAAATACATTCAAGAAAAGTACTATAATGACATGAAGTTTGATAATGAATTGTTCTAAAAATTCAAATAATACTGTACAGTTAAACAGCATACTTTTGATTCAATTAACCAAATTAACATAGAACTAATGTCTATACAAAAAACAATTTTTAGCATGCTATAGTTCAAATTTTATTATTATTTTATAAAATTGTTCAGCAAATAATCTGTTCTAATTCTAGGTTATTCTTGATACTAGTCACTCACACTTTGAAAATCATATAGAATGGTTATCTACTAAAAAAAATTACCTCTACAATTCCAGACATTCCTTGATTAGTTTTTCCTAATCCTTGACCTTCCGTCCATCCCATTGCCTTTAGCATTTTATTTCCTATATTATCGCTACCAATTCCTTGTTTTGTAGGTTCTTCATATGCTCTAAACCAAAACACAAAAAAAGCAATATTACAATTCTGGTAATGGCAGGAAATCTCCCGAATTCTCCATAAAATTTAGAATCCTATTCGACTTTTGTTATCTCGAATATTACATCAACTTGCTCAATAATGAATTCCTAAAAGTCTATACAATGGTTTCTTGACTTGAAACCACTGGCTTAAAAAAAAAGTCCCATATGATGTGACTTCTTCTTTTGAGCAAAGGGGGGATACGACAAACTTAAAACACAGTCGACCAGATGGAGAACTAAGGACGATAATTGTAGAAGTCACGGCAAGGTAAGAGGTGTGCCATAAATAAATGAATATAAAAACATTACACATTTTTCATACAGTGACTAACTTACGCAGCCTGTTGTTGTTCCAAATGTTTCATGTATTTATCTTTCAACCTGTTAGGATGTGGAGGATCCGGTTGACCATATTTCTCTCTTCTTTCTTTTGCTCTATCTCGATATCCAGCCTAAAATTTTACAGTCACAAAACAAACCTCTATTATACATTTCATTGTTATAAAGCATCAATTTACTCTTGTCCAACATTACTAGATATCAATATTAGTATGAAGTCATACTAAAAGTTTATAATGGTGCTACAAAAATTCATTAGTTCTTCTATTACTCCCAGGTGCCATATGGTGAAGAAAGGTCTTGTCTACAGCAAAGATGAATGCCTTGAAAGTTTTTATTAAAAAAAACAAACAAACAAATCACTGTAGGAATAGTTTGATTGATAAGAAGGCAAACTTATTTTTTCATTGAAAATAAATCTGCTTTCCTACTTCTGCTCTACTCATTCAAATCCAAAATGGCAATATAATCTTATAAATATTATTGTGTCAGACAATAGAAGGGGGAAAATCGAATGGGAACACCTTGACACTGTTACATTGAAATGAAACACAAAAAAGAAATTTAATATTGACAAAATTACTTTCTTGGGTAGTAATAATAATAATAATTTAGGGTCCTACTTGGCAATGTAAGCTATTTTTTCATAATAACATTTTTCTTAAAGTAAATCACTTAGTCTAATTAATAGAAAAATTAATTTTCAAAACAATTTGCCAATGAAAGAATGAAATATACAGTAGACCCCCTGTAACACGGGTTCATATAATATGGATTCGTATAAAATGGCAAAAAAATTGTGATTGTATTCGTATAAACACGCTAAAAGAGACTCGTATAATATGGTAAAATGTCATTGCCGACTCGTGTCGCGACAGGATTGGTTGAATCTAGACCAATAGCAGATATTGCACAAACTGTTGAGTTTAACGTAACATTTAACTGTTGAGTAAACGATCAGTGGACCTACTAAAAACCATTTATTATTCATCAGCCGTAAAAATTATATTTATATTAATGATGTCTCCAAAGTTCAGCAAATTTTTCGCAGAAAAATAACTTATCAGGAAACATGCGCCGCTGTTTGATGCGCTGCTCCATGATAGAAACAAGCTTAAGCAATGGCGTCGTCGAACGGTACACACTCGGTAAGTAATCCTACAATTTTTTGTTTATAGCATAGTTTATATGGATTATTCCCACAAAATTATACGTGTTTTGGAAATGTTGAGTCAAATTAGTCTAGAATCGATTAATTTTATGGAAGAAAACCTTTCAAACAGCTATAGTCCCTAAACTGCACACGTGCCAGGCTGTGATTGGCTCATGTATTTAAATGACTTGTACAACATGGAATTCATAAAACACGGAACATATCTACCATGTTATAGGGGGGTCTACTGTAATATCAATATGTATGCAAATTAATATGAAACTTATGCAAGGTTGACAGGAAGCTAATGAAACATTATTTTGTTATAAAATTCCTTGTGTACTGGTGATACATGATAAAGTTATAGACGGTTATTTGGGAAATTATTTTTTTGTTATAAAAGATATAATGATAGAAAAATAAGTTATTTGCAATAATCAGCAACATGCAGGATAATTCTAAACTAAACTTTTAAAATTAATTAATTATTTTGTAAAATACTATCATTTAACAGAAATAAAAGCACTAAAATTAATAATTTTTACCTACATTTTTAGTAATGACATCAAGCTATGTTAAGAAAATAAAATAATAATTTAATTATTCTGTGATCTTTAAATAATTTAAAAAGCGTGTCTTTTAAATAATGATAAAAAAAAACAAAGAGGGACAGTGATACAGTGATCCAAAAAAGTTTGAGAAGCACTGTTGTAGAGGATTAATTAGTTCCAAAATACACAAAATAATTTGTTTAAAATGACTTTTCACATTTATTTTCTTGTGTTTTTTGATAAATTGTTTAAATAAATTCTCTTATAATTTAAAATTCAAATTCTTATTAAGGGGAGGGAAAAAACACCTGTATCATTAATGATATATATTAATTACTACATCCTTTATCTTTCTGATACTGATAGTGCACTGATACCAAAATCTTTGCAAAGAGAAAAGTATTAAGCTTCAGTAAGTTGTATAATGCAAGACAAATAAATTAGTAAAGAATAATTTATGCTCGTTAAATTAAATAGATAATAGTTTACAGATTTTGTAATATCAATCTGAATAAGATACAAAAATCAAATCCTGAGCAAAATAAAAACAGAAGAAATTAGATATAAATATTTAACAGATCAAATAATTCAATGATATATTAAAAAAAGGAAAGCACTTTAATTCTAAAATACATTTAATTTTTCAATGCAGAGTGGAATCTGGTTATCATCATCAATCAGATACTGTTATAATAATTGGTTGGTTCCAAAAAAACTCCATATATAGTTAAAAGTAATCCACCTATTATAATCAAACTTTGGCTATTGTTACCAACTGTAATAATTACACTTGAACACAAACAATAAGAATTTGTAGAAAACTTGTACTATTGTAAATGAACCTCTTCTTCGAAACTTACTTTTAACCATGTGCATGACGAGAATTCCTAAAGGATACACTTCAAATAGTTTCTATCTTTTCAGAACGTATTGTTGCATTGATTAGGGATAAACATGTGTGTCTGTTGTAATTTTTCTAGTTTAATTTTATCATCTGCTGAGTTAAGAAGATTGATTAATGTGCTTTAAAAACTCTTTGGATCATAGCAAACATGTAGAGATTTGTCTCTTCAAGAAACACAAAGAATTTTAGAGTGCAAGTTACCCAAAGTTACTAAATATTAGTATGGTCATGCATTTAAAAATTTCACAACCACTCTTGTGCAAGATCTTAAAAAATAGACATTTCTTCTCTTTCTAACAACAACATGGATTTGAAGAAAGAACAATCTAGGAAGGATAGCTGAGTCCACAATAAAAATTTGATTTAGTAATGTCTGTGAAAAGAATACTCTGGTTAATGAATTTATTACATGTCAAAAAGCAAAAGAACTAGCAAAAAAGATTTCATTGCAACTGGTATATGACTCAACAGGTGAAAATGCAAGAAAATATCATAAAAACATCTTCATGATAAAGAAAAAAAGTGCAGATTAGTTAGCAGTTAATGAGTAAATAAGACAGAGTGGCCAAAAATAATTGCTGAATATTCACCTCTGATTGCAACACAGATGAAACTGCACTCTACTTTCATGCACTGCCTGAGATACTTATTTGTTTAAAACTAACTGCAAAAGAATTTATATTTTTGAAAAAGCAAGTGACTGTTCTTTGTAGTATTAATATGACAGGCAAAAAGCAAGACCCTTTTGTGATTGAAATAAGTAAAAATCTTTGGTGTATTAAAGGTGTGAAAAGTCTGTCTATTGGTTACTTTTCTAGTACAAATGTCTTTTTCAACAAATTGGCTACTTAAGTGGGATCATGAATTAAAGTGAAAATCATCATGTTTTCAAAAACAGTTGTTTATGTAGCATATATAGTTGTGTAATGTTGTATTACGTGCACTGTTTGTCATAAATATAAATTATACAATTATCATAATTGTAATAAATTAAGTCCAATAATAAAAAATTTTTTAACCTCTAATGTTATCAAGCCAGTTATTGTTATCAAATATTGTAACTTCCAAAGTGATCATAATAAGCAGATTCCACTGTAATGCTGAAAGTTTAAAGCTAGGTTTGATTATTTTTTTAAACTTTCAACACAAAAAGCTCTTAACTTCCAAATTTATGGAAAATTAAACTGGATAATTATAAATATTTATCATCAAATGTTTTTTTTGTTTGTTTTTTAATTTCCGTATTCACAGAAACAATTTAGATTAAATAGATATAACTATAAATTTCAATAATTATTACTTATAAATATTATAATTTAGCAACATATTTAGTTAAATATTGTTTATTCATCTTACAAAATAATTAAACTATCAATTATAAACATATCTTAGTATTTATATAAATACTACTTCATCCTACTTTCTTAAACATAAAAATTATTGTTTTATATTTAATTTACTCTTAATTTCTCAATTAGTTTCATGTTTACAAAAATTAATATTTAAAAAAAAAAATACAACCCAAACAAACCGCAGTGAATGCATGTGGCTTTTTCAAATATCATATACTCATACACAGTGTAAGAGTTTACTAAAAAAATCTTTTTAACTATATTGCAATAAATTTGATAAAGATGACAATTAGTACATTAAATACAAGGAAAACATGTATTAAAAAAAGTTACTTAAATTAAATGTTTATAGTTCTTTTAACCTTCAAATGATTTCATCATCTTCACAGCATAGTTATATAATTTAAGATTAATATTGGAAAAAATTAAATTTTGTAACAACATAGCATTAGCTTAAAATTGTCATTTTTAAAATCAATTTACATCAATTAAACTATAGAAAACAACATTGAAATTTTAGATTATGGATAGTTTTCATTGCATTCTGTACATGGATTTAGATAAAATATCAGTGAAAATCAAGTAACTGGTGGTAAAATAAAAAAATTATAATTTGACATTGTAATATCTCATCTTGCATTTTTGTTCTATAATTATCTAATACTGTCTTTATTTAAATCAAACTTTCAATTAGTAAAAACTGTTTTAATCATTAATGAATACAGTTGTCACCACTTTTTGTGATTACTGGCTAATGCATCAGCCACTTAATGTAATCAAAATCCATTTTCCCAAACTAGTTCTATATTTCTTGTCTAAAATCTTGTCACTTATTGTTATCAGATTAAACTAGAACATTTATGATATTTATAACTGACAACTTAGGATTAGTTTAAAATAACTTTTGAAAAGCATTACTTACTACTGAAAATAATTTAATGGAATTTTTTTTAATTCAATAAAAATGCAAGTGTTATGAAATTGTGAATAGCAAATATCGTAGAGATTACTCAAATTTTTTTTAGATTTATCTGTTTATTGTGATAGACTAGTTGGCCAGCCCTGCAGTAAGCACATGTCCTTGTACACTGGCTGCCCTGCAAGATAGTGTCTACCAGATATGATCATCAGCTGTTTATCATCATCATCAAAA